TATATATATATATATATATATATATATATATATATATATATAGATATATATGTGTGTGTGTGTATGTATAAAATTCTTCCCGGATGGACAAGAATGTGTAGGCTCGGGATGTAATTTCTTCTTTTTCAGGTATTTTATTATTGGTAAGCTGGATCATAACCATATTCACAGACTATCATAGCGAAATGGCTCAGCCAGCACCGCCAAGCACCACGTCCAACTAAACTGTGTCCAATCCGAGAGGTGGTGCAGAAAGACTTTGTGAATATATGTTTATAGATGGAGTGATATGGAGTTTGTCTGGAAAGGTAGCTTGGTTGAAGTTCCTGTGCCCTTTGAAAGATAAATAGTTCGTTCGCCAGCGACCAACAATAGTATAGCTCAACTGACAAGAGGGTGATATGTCTGCCTACAAGTGGAAGACTTTTATAGTTTATAGAAAATCTTAACTATGCGTTTTTGAAATAACATCCAAGATTGGCGGAGCTCACTGCTCAATTGATACCACATTGTAACGTGATATTCAATAAATATTATGTGAGTCATGAATGGACTCAGCGCAGGCTGTTATCAGTTTAGTCGAATACTTTTAATTGTCGAACGTAAACGCTTATCTATTCGATTTAGAAATAGACGGTTAAAACGTTTCACCACGACAAAAGACTGGGAAAAAAAAGGATTTCTTTGCGCCTTAGAAGTCAGACACCCTGCCGGAAATCGTGTCAAACGCTTGAACCTCCAGGCTCCGCGGATAAGCACCCAAATCAACAACTATAGGGCCGTCACGTTATAGGCGTTGAGCGTAAACATATATATTCGTAAACATACGTTTCAACGTAAAACGTATTAGGTTAGATGTAAATTGTAACTAAGTTGACTTATGAGATGTTTTTTCTTCTTCTTGTAGCTGGACGGTTGAATGTTATAATCCACAATTCGGCGCCAATGAAATTACAGGGAACCTTAACAACGGCACGATTTATTTCAAAAAACCTGATATTTCGATAAAGTTAGATCTGGAAACATATAATTCCAGCAAACAATCGAATTCATATAGTACTTCCGGTGTTGTGGAGCGTGTGAACAAGCGTGTGTTTGAATGTAGTAGTGTAGTACGCGTATCAGTAGCAAATACCCATATGACCACTTTGTTTTGGGTTATGCAAATGACACACGAGCACACTATACTGTGCTTGAATGCAAACGACCACATAAATTTGTTAACAGCTACTAGCGAGACTGTACCACGTAAATGCGCAACCACACTCGAAGTTTTTGGTTAGGAGACAAAAATATTAAATACAAATATACCGGCGTATAGAGTACACACACAGCTTACTATCAAATATCGAGTCAGAAATACATACGAGAGCTTTCATCGGTTCTCCACAATTCAGCGTCGTTAATTCACAATACAACAATCATAATGGGGTTAGCAAGAAATTTAATACTGGCCCTGACGACTGTCAAATCGCTCAGTGGCCAGGGCTCTATAAGAGAGGCGTATCTCTCCAAAAAAGGAGGGCCTACGTTTAATTGGCAAGGGTATGATGATTACGGCTACGATGTGATGGGGTTTGATGAGTTTGGGTATGATCTCTACGGAAAGCCCATGTATGACCCGTACGCGGGCTTGCAGGGTAGTCGCGCGCAGCTAGAGGCCCATGGCCAGTTCTTTGACCCCTCACATGGCACTCATTTAGAAGATAGCAATGTAGAAGAGTATGTGGACAAGTATGACGGCGCTGATGGGGAGGGAGATAAAGACGATGATGGCTATGAACAAGACAAATATGAATACCCGGGCAAAAAGTACGATGACGACGATGACGATGTGCCGTGGTGGCACAAGCCCTTCCCGTCTGGCACGGATAAAGCAGACCCTGGGTGGTGGGATTGGTACTGGGAGGAGGTCAGTATGACTGACGCGCTACCTACGGCCAGTATATTCTTCACGGATACGTTTGACTTCAAATTCCCCAGACCAGACAGACCTACTACAATGACGGAGACTGAGACTACTACCAAAATCACACCAACAGCGTATATAACTACTACTGGTGGCTCTAGTATGACTATCACTGTGCCGGCCACTGAGGTGTATTCATGCGGGCGAGCGGCATATTGCCAGGAGTATGAGACCGAGTGCTGCGATGGTGTGCCGCTGTGCAAACCGGGCAAGTGCGAGTACGGATACTACAATAGTCTGTCGCTGGTGGCCTCTGAGTGTATAGATACTGAGTTGTGTATTGCGGGCTCACAGAGTGTTGCGATAAGTGGTGACGGATGTTGGGTTATTCAGGGTGTGCCGTCGAACACAACCCAAGAAGCCATCACCAGCACTGGTCTAGGGTTGGACGACGAGCAGTTGCTATGGCGTGGCTGGGCGACTGTGTGGCATTTGGCTGACGGAGTCTGGCTACAATACCAGCTGCTGATACCATCCGATGGTGTACTGGCAGACTGGTTTGGTATCAGTGTAGATATCTGCAACGATGGCTCGCGCATTGTTGTAGGATCGTGGTTGGACAGTGAGAATGGTGTGCGGTCAGGGTCAGCCTACGTCTTCTCCTGGGCACCCGGTACCCATACCTATAGACAGGAGGCGAAGCTGATGCCGAGTGATGGCCAGGCATTCGACTATTTCGGACAGTCTGTGCGGATCAGTCATGATTGTGACACAGTAGTAGTGGGCGCGTTTGGTAACGACGCGAACGGGGCACTATCCGGAGCTGCCTATGTGTACCTAGTTGAAGAGATCCCAGGTACCATACCATCGCACTCGCCCAGCCCTACACCCAACTTTAACTCGACTTACGGGCCGAACATTACATTCATCGACCCAACCCAGGCCAAGAAAGACCGGAAGCAGAAGTGCGACGACGAGAAAAACCTGCCCATACAGACCCACCGATGGATTGAGGTACAGAAGATTGATCTCGGGTTCGACGGGTCTCCTATGGATATGTTTGGCCAGTCTCTGGCAGTGAATGGTGACGGTACGAGAATCTTTATCTCGGGTCGAAATATCGAGAGCGTCTTGTACTATAAGTTTGAGATGAGCTTTATGCGCTGGATCCTGCAGGAAGAGATCAAGCCTGATCAGACGGGTATGATGGCTTTCGGACACTCTATTGATACGGATATCGCCGGAACTACGCTGGCGGTAGGTGCTCCTTGGGGTTCTGCCACTTCCTCATTCAATGATACGGATGAGGGACTTGTATACATCTATGAACAGAACATCAACATCTCAACATCGTACGAACTAGCGGCCGGAACACCGCTTACGTCGCCCAACAGTGCTGAGGACAACTTCTTCGGATTCAGTGTTGCGCTGAACGGTGCGAATGGCTCATATCTATTAGTGGGAGAGCCAGGCTTCGACTATAACGAGACCGATACACTCACCAACGTCAACGCCTATCTTGAAAATGCTGGAGCTGCGTACATCTACTCCAACTGGTGCGGCTACTGGGACTACTATGGCCTCATGTTCAATGCCACACTCACCACTAGCACAGACGACACCGGTGTCACGACGGTATCGCCCATCAACTACTTCTTCGGAGTGTCTGTGGATATGGACGACTGCGCAACCGATATTGTGATCGCCGATTCCTACAACAAGGTAGATGTCTTCACGTGGGTGCCATACTTCACGCCAATCTTCAATGTCACTGTCACGTCCAATGCCGAAGATGAACCAATCCCCGCTATCGAAGGCGCCACGGTCACGTTGACCGGCCCACTACCCAATACCACGACGAGAGTGCTGCTTACCAATGTAGACGGCTATGTTACCTTTGAAACCGTTGACGGTGACATCATAAAACCTGGGGACTACAATGTGACTGTGGAAGCAGACGGCTACTTTGGACCGCAGACGGGAAGTGTCACCCTGGCCATGAATGCCATCACTAACATGTACTTTACGCTCAGCACCAATCCACGCGTTGCCTTCTATGTGGAGGATAGCGTTACGGGCGGCAATCTCACCTTGCCTGGTACGAACACTACGTCACCTGCCACCTTCAACGTCTTTGATGCCAACGGCACTCTCGTGCAGAGCGGCACGACTGTGTATGGAGAGCTGAATTTCTTAGGGCCCTTCGAAGTGGGCAGCTACACGTACAATGTCACAGCGGAGGGGTATGACACTGGCAGTGGGGCTATCGACATGGCGCTTGATGTGTTCTACACCATCACGGAGAGCATGGTCCCCTCATTCGCCGAAGTCACGGCCCTAATCACAGACACGGACGGTGCAGTACTGCCAGGGGTTCTGGTGACTATCAACAGCACCTTGGGTGGAATCTACCAGGAAACCACCGATGCAGATGGATGGGCCAACTTCAGTCTTGTCAGGACCGGTGACCTTGTCTTCACCGCCAGCAAAACGGACTTCAGCTCTGCCTCTGGGTCTCTGTCGCTCGGCACAGCGGGTGCCTCACTGACGGCGTCACTGAACCCAACATCTCTCACGTTCGAGATCACCAGCAATCTGACAGGCCTCGCGCTGGAAGGAGCGTTGGTGGAGATTCTGACCAGTGAAGGCACCACTCTATCGCAAACAACGCCCGCCAATGGGTCTGTCATTTTCGATTATCTGACGTCCGGTACCACTACGTACAATGTGACGGCCGATTTCCACTTCGTGCAGTCGGGTAGCGTGGACTTAGCCGAGGGCTTTGCCACCACTCAACCGCTCGATCTGCAGTCGGATATCGCCGAAGTGCAGGTTACCGTGGTCAACAATCTGGACAACGTGGTGGCCGGGGCGGAAGTGAGCTACGAGTACGCCAACGGAACAGTAGTCACTGAGACCACTGATGCGCTAGGCCAGGTATTGCTTGTCGATGTGGACACTGGGGTCGTCAGTGTGAACGTGGTAGCCGATACATACGACAACCAGACAGCAACCGCCACGGCCATAAGTGGTACACTTGTGGAGAGCGAGATTACCCTGGTGTCTCAGATTGCTGTGCTGAACGTCACTCTGTTCCAGGCAGACGGCTCTGCCTTTGATGTGGACGCAGAGGTGACACTGACCACCACCGCGGATGGCACTGAGCAAGTGCTGGATAGTGGTAGTAGTGGCGAGGTGTCCTATCTCAATGTCACGCCCGGTGCGTATGAACTGTCTATCACGGCTGTGAATATGGCCACCATCACTCAGACGGGAACCACTGTGGCGGACGACAACGCCAACTTGAATGTCACAATCTTCGCCAGCTCGGCCAACTTTGCATTCACTGTAGTTGGGCCAGACTCTTTGAACAACGCGGGTGTGGCAGTGGATGACGCAGTGATAACGCTCACAACCTCACAGAGTGGTATAAGCACTACTGGCACTACCGATACGACAGGAGCAGCATCCATCAGCGGGATTGAGGCGGGTGAGTATACCTACACGGTGTCTGCGACGTACTTTGAGGATTTCACACCAACACCGGTGTTAGACTATGCGTTAAACGTATCCGAGATATCGGTGCCTGTAACCCTCACTCGCTCAGTGGGTAGCATCCAGTTCCTGATTCTGAACTCAACGAGTAACACGCCCATTGAGTCTGTGGATGCGATCATCAGCCTGGAAAATGCGGACCTGTTAGGTGTAACAACGGAGGAAGACACCTCCACTGGGTTTGCAACGTTCACGGATCAATTGGCGGGCAATTACATCGCCACACCCACGGTGGGCGCGACCGCCTACCCGTCTGTAGCCGTTGAGAAACTGTTCACTGGTACAACGAATGTGACCATCTCGGTCACGTGAGCTACACCTGATCCGTATATATATATGTATTTATGTATGAATTTGAATATGCACAAATGTGTGTGCGTGTTTATCGAGTCGGACACGAGTATACTTGCGTAGCCACAGAGTATGTCGTACTTGGGAGTCACATCGTACGACAATCAGACCGTGAACAGACCTGCAGGCTTTCTGAATTAGACCAGATCAAGTAAGTAGACCAACACTGTATATACACACCTAAACTTCGATAGACAAATTGAAATTGAACATTCTAAGAATTAAAAAAAGAAGTAATAATGCTGTGTTTGGCCTTCTTTATGTCATTGATGTGGTTTAAGGAATTGGTACACATGTATTGCGAGCATCTGTAAGGAATGAGTTTCCGATGTTCCTTACCATGCCTAAAACCCTAAAACACTATACCGGCCATGCCTAAAGCCCTATACCGATCGTGCCTAAAACCTTATACTGACTATGTCTTGTTGTTCGCACTGCATCTCAGCGGACCATTTAAGTTCTCTCTCCTGCACATAGAACCACTCTTTTATGCAACTCACGATCTACCTATAGCGAAAATATTCGTAGATTACTACTTGAGATCTGCCAAAGATAGCAGCACACTCCATCCTACGCCAATCCTTGTACACTACTAGGCCTTGAATGCGTGTCATGTGACCAGGTGGGGTCAATCGAGATGCTTTAACTCGATTGCCGCCCAGTAGTGCTTATACGGAAGAGTAACACTCTACAGAGTACCTTCAATTGCAGTAGCCGATAGTATATCATACTGTGCTGTCGATGGATGTATTCTGGTTGGCTGTGGCAACGCTCAGAAAGAATGCAAACCCAAATGACAGCGTTCTTGCCGACCGCAAATGCGGTGCTATACAGCTTATTCTGCATTCTCGTACTTCCTCATTCAGCCTATTCTGCATTCTCGTATTTCCATCAGACAACCTTGCTTCGGACCACAAGTACGTGCCAGGCTGCGTATATGCACCACCACGTGTCGAATGGCAGCATTCCGTGCAACCACAGACTAGTGCGAAACACAAACTAGAGTCAAGCTCAAGTACTGTATCCCACATTTCCTCATACGCACAGTACGACGGTTGTAATGGCGCAGGATTGCCACTAGCATAAAGTAAAAAGACATTTGAAAACGATTATGTTGGGGTTTCCGTTGGAAATTGGGCTGAGTACGATTTCGAATGCCTCTCGCCATACTTCTCATCGTCTATGCCTGCACTAAATATCGCGCGCATTACCAGAGTATAGTATCCATCGAGCATATACCTGGGCTTGACTTCATTATATTGCGAGTGCGAATATCTTAATTCTATTCCACGAGAGTTGAATCTCAAGCCCTAAGAGAAGTTTAGGCTATGATCGTGGATCCTTCATAACCCCAGAATTGATGTTGGCTGTCCGCGGCCATGCACACAATGCTACTATACACACAGCCTTCTTGCCTTCAGAAGGCTGTGCGATGGTCATACACTCCATTTGATGTTAAAGTGGATGCAGCCCATGCTGCGTATGTTCGACTCCAGGAGTGGCGACCCACAACGGGCAATGTATATTAAGTGCATTTGGGGGGGTTTTCTTGATGGAGGATTTGACGGTGCAAACTTTATTAGACTACAAGGGCGGCGGTACATAACGGGCCTGGCGCCGACCTTTGTTTGTTGGCGAGGCTCCAGTGCCCGGGAAAGCAGGTGTGGGTCCTAGTAATTGTTGCG